ATAAAAATTGTCAACCTAATGAAATCGGCATCAATCAAGAAAAATATTGTGATAAATTATTTTCAAAGTATTCAGTGGTGATATCCGAGTATTAAATAGGAATTTAATTTTCTCGATAGTGATATTCAAGTTTTTTTTTATAGTGATATCCGAGTATTCAATGGTGATATCCAAATATTAAAATATGAATTTCATCTTCTCGATAATGATATCCGAGTGTTAAAGCTTAAATTTCATCTTCTTAGTGGTGATATCCAAGTGTTAAAGCTAGAATTGCATTTTTTCGGTGGTGATATCCGAATGTTAAAGCTTAAATTTTATTTTCTTAGTGGTGATATTTGAGACATTTTCAAAATCATTCGGTGGTGACATTCGAGTGTTAAAGCTGGAATTACATTTTCTTAATGGTGATATTCGAGTGTTAAGGCTTGAATTTCATTTTCTTGGTGGTGATATCCAAGACATTTTCAACATCACTCAGTGGTGACATCCAAGTTTAAAGTTTAAATTTGTATTTTTTTCTCTACATTTTGTATTTTCTTGATGGTAATATTCGACTTTTCTTCGGTGGCAATATTCAAAATCATTTGTAATTTTTTTTAGAGGTAATATCTAAATTCCCTTCAATGGTGATATCCGAAGTCATTTGCATTTTCTTAATGATGATTTTGAGCTTTCTTTAATGATGATATCCAAAATCATTTGCATATTTTCGGTGATGATATCCGAGTTTCCTTTGGTGATGACATTTAAAGTTATTTTTTGATAATGATACCTATGCTTTAGTTTCAATTTTTTTTTTATTCAAAGCCTTTAGTGAGAAGAACTTTTAGATTTGATTTAAAAAAAAATTCAACATATGCTTGTCCAGACAAAAGTGTTATCTTTTAGTCTTTGCTCTATTCTTGATTCTCAGTAACATGCAAAAAAAGAATTATTGTAGATATCAAATTTTATCCGGATTGATCGAAATGGATCCGAATTGTATCTGTATGTCCAATTTAAACTTATTCGGATATTTTGATCATGTTTATTATTTATAGATAAAATTATTTTATATATTATTTCATTAATTAGTTTTAAACAAAAGTAAAAGAGAGAGAGAGAGAGAAAGCTTGAAAATTTCAAACAGCCAAAATTCAAGCATTTCCGCTATTGAAAATTTTTTTTATCGCCCACGCTGCCACTGCTTAACTTGGCAACACAATTCAAAGGAGAAAATCTTCTCCAAATCCTAGGAAATCTGGGATTTCTTCCCATATTAGCTTTTTAAATTGAGCCTAAAAAATGAAAATGATGGGGGAATTGGAAGGCCATTTATTTCAAATAAAAACACATTGCCTAAATCATCTAGCCAATACTATCTCCATCACCACAAAAAAAATAACCTAAACAACACTACCGGGCCCATTTTCCACAACCCTTTGCCTAGCTCCTACCAGACCCATAGTCGATACCATTGCCAAGCACCATTTCAATTGGTATGCCTGCACCACCATACTTCACCCATGTCTAGTTTACCTAAGCCTATTATCACCATCAACTACCTTTATTCAAACCAATTTGCCAAAAAAAAAAATCTATTGAAAACAATAGAAACCCATAGTCCCTCCATAACACAAAAAAAAAGAACAAAATCAACCACATCCTTTTTTGGGGAACCGTAGCACCACAAATCCAAAATAACACAAAATTAAAAAAAAAAAAAGAAAATGGCTTATGGTTTAGGGGATTTTGAAGAGTTTTGAGGTTAGGTTTTTGGGTGAAGAGAAATGCTTTAAATAGGTAAACGGCATAGTTTGAAATAGTAGTATTTGAGAGCGGTAGAGGCGAAAGTTTTAATTTTAAAATCTTGGGTTTCGACTTAGATCTAGGTAGATTTGGTTGGTTTTTGGAAAAACTAAGGTTAGATTCATGATTAGCAGATTGAAAGAAGCTTTGTGGTTATTTTTGAGTGAAAACCAACCACCAGAGATAACAGTCAATGGCCAGTTGTCAGATTATAAGTTTATCGGGTTTTTTGGTGGGTTGGTTTATTTTTAAAGAAATAAGCTCACTTTTTTAGAGAGAGAAAAGTCTGAACTAAAATGAAATAAAAAAATCTACCTTTTATAGTTCTACAAAAAAAAAAAAACCAAACACAAAATGACATCATTTAGGGGCCAGAAGATCAGCGCGTGGGCCTGGATCCAACTTAAGGTCTATGCAAACTGACTCATAACCTGTTTCTCTCTTAGCCACTCACTGGTTCAGCCGAACCATTCCTACACCGTTGAACAACCCCATATCGCACCAAACTAGGATTGGACCACCAACGTTGATTAATGTTGACAGGCAAAAATCTTTTTTTTTATTTTTTTCACTATTTATTCTATTATTCTATTTTTAGTATTATTTTTAATATAAAATTTAGGATATGTTCAAGTAAATATAAACAACGATAAAAAAATAATAAATATGAAATTTAGAATAATGAATGAATAAAAATAAATAATAAAAGTAAATAAAATATTATAAAATAACTATAAAATCACAAATAGTGATTTTATTAAAAATATTTACACAAAAAAATTCTAAATTATTCTAAAAGTATTAGAAATATTTTAGAAATATTTTCAAACATAAAAAATAATATTAGTAAAAAATAAAATCACAAATAATGATTTTATTTAAAATATTTACGTAAAAAATTCTAAAATATTCTAAAAGTATTAGAAATATTTTAAAAATATTTTCAACATAAAAAATAATATTATTAAAAAACAAAATTACAAGTGATGATTTTCTTTAAAATATTTACATAAAAAATTCTAAAATATTCTAAAAGTATTAAAAATATTTTAGAAATATTTTCAAACATAAAAACAATATTATTAATAAAAAATAAAGTCACAAGTAGTAATTTTGTTAATATTCATATAAAAAAATTTTCTAAAGTATTATAAAAATGTTAGAAATATTTAGAATTTTTTAAAAATACAAAATAATAAATAAAATGATAAAATCAACAATAAATATTACAAAGTATATTGAAATTTTCGTCAATGATGGAATTAAAAGGGAATCATAAATAATGATTTTCTTTCAAAATTTTCTATTATACCATAAATGTTGGCATAAGGAAATTATAATATACTTTGCTTTCAAAATATTAAAATAAATTTGATGGTAGAGTTTTTCAAGAAAATAAGTGATTTCTTTGAATATTTTTAAGGTAAAAAATTTTCTTAAATTTATACCGAAAGTATAAAAATAACTGAAAAATTTTTAATATTCAAATAATAAAATAATAAATAATAAAAATAAGTAAAACATTATTCAAACGAGACGATTCTAGGATTTTATATAATTAATTGGTATCCTCTTTGGACGGATATTGTGAGGGTATTATAATATTTTTTACTCGTAACCATACTTCCAAACTCAATCTCAAATTCATAGATCAAAAGATAAACTTGGTAGGAAATCGCACATCAACAAAAAAAATTAGTGGCGATTCTTGACTTTTTACATCTAACGATCGAGCTCTCAAACTAATACATTATGACAATTAACCCTAAATCATTACTCACCGATATTAGGATCGACTAAAGTAATGAAAGTTGTTTACATCCATGTCATTTAACAACTATCAGAATTGAAATGTTTTAATTTATTGACTAATGGTTTAAAAAGCATACAAATAAATGTAAGATAAGAATTTGATACATAAAATTTTTATCTTTTATCTCTTATTTAATGGATAAAAAAATTAAAAAGATTATATGATAATACTTCTTTGTTGGTTTACACCAAATCTGTTTAAGGATCAGACTATTCATTTAGATTGAAACTCTACTCAAATTTAAAAAGGCTTAGATAAAAAGTTATGATCTCTTAAACGGGTTTGAATATAAATTTAAGTTTTATTTAAATTTTGTATCAAGTTTTGGATAAAAAAATTAAAATTCGAGTTTGTCCAATTAAATTATATATAATTAAATTATTATGATTATTTTTAGATTTTATTTAAAAAATTTACATTTTTAATAAAAACTGATTTTAAATTTTAATAAAAACTGAGCAAGCTGTCAAAACATTGAGAGTAAAAAAAGTAAAAGCCTAACTTTTGTAACTTTATAGGATTTTGTCTCCAATTTTTATCTTCTCCCAAAGCAAGCTCTTCCATATATCTTTTATGTTTTTCTTCTCCTTGAGCATCTTCCAAATTTCTTTCTCCTTTTCTTTGTTTTAGTTTTCTCTCATCAGGCATTACTCTACAAGTTAGAGCTTAAAAGCATCCATTTTACTTTTTATCAAAATTTTGTGATTGATTTTTTATTTTCTCAACATTGTTAGTTATAATTCATTTTTAGACATAATTTACTTTTTGTTGATGGACGAACTTAAGTATTATTTTACAACTAGAGTCAAACTTGAGTTTGAATTATCAAGTTTGAGCTTAAACAAATAAATAATTTATTAATATTAAAGATAAATTCAATTTGAACTCAATTTAATTCGTGAATAAATTTAATTTACATCAATACAAATATTAAAAAAATTTTATTCTTCCTTTAAGTCCTACCGGACAAAAATAGATTAGAAATTTTGATTTTTTTTTAAATTTTTTTCAAAACTACTTTTGTTTACTTTTCTTTCAATCAAAAACAAAAAAAATTTAATTAATAAATATAGTATAATATATACACCCTACAATCAACTCTGATTTATTGGTTTAGTAACAAAAAATTTTCTAAAATTTTGAGATTTAAAGATTAAATCTTACTATATGTGAAATTAATGTAATTTTATGTTAAATTTATTTAATTAAATTCTACTTTATTGATTAATTTATTTATTTGATTATTTAATGATGTAATATATTTAATTATGATAATATTTTTTATTTATAATTTTTTTAAAAAATTACATCGTACCTGTGCAAGTCTATCTAGCTCATTTTTTGTTTTCATGTAATTTTTTTTTTTAATTTTGGTTTTGCCGAAAAATGAAAGAAATTAAAAAAAAAAAGGTTTCTCCTTTTTTTCACATACTTGATCACTGTTCCCGCAGACCAGGAAACAAAAGCCCCCCATCTCCAAAGAAGCAGAAAGGAGAGCTTTCATTCTACCGGAAAAAAATAGTACTTTCAGTTTACTGTTATAATAATCTCTCTCACAATCACTCTCCAAGGTAAATTTCTTAAATTTCAAAACCAGCCTTTCATTTTTCACGTTGGGTTTTTATGGGTTTCATTGTTTGTTCCTGATTTATTTTCTCACACTTGTTTTATTCATGTTGAAGTTTTTTTGTTTTTAGTTATTTTATTGATTTTTATCTTGTGGGGTCTTTGAATTTTGCCTTTGGATGTCCGAACTGAAGCATTTTCATGGTGGGGTTCTTTGTAAAATATTTTTTTTTGGTATTTCTCTCTCATGGATCAAGTTAATTCTCAAATCAATTGCTTGAGCTTTGGTTTCTGATTTATTTATTTATTTTTGTTGAATTTAGTGGAAGAAAGTAAAATAAAATTGAAAACTTGTGTAGTTTCAACAAGTAGAGCGAGCATGAAGGGCCATGAATCAAAGGTAACTATTTAATATCTTTCTCTAGAATATCTCTTATCTTATCAGTGTTTAGTGCTAGCATTGTTTTCTAAAGATCTTTACTTTTCAATCTATACTTGGGAGCTGTCTTGAATGATGTCTTTTTTTTTGTTGTTATTATTATTAATAACTAGTTTAGTTGCTGAGTGTAACCTGGGTGTGTCATTCTATGTGAACGAATCTCTGCCCATGTTATCGAATCCAAAGGAAGTTGTAATAATTTTTTCTTCTGACTTTTGATTTAATACCATTAAGCTTCCAACTTGAGATGTTATCCAAAATAAATTTAGAGGTATGGTCCGAGGTAAACATGAACGCTAATTTTGAACTAAATAAGATGCTTAAGTAGAAGGATTGATAATCATTAATTGCTTGAGCGATAAATTAGGTGGTAATATGGCACTTTGTGAAAATGAAAAGATGAGGGGTAGGATTATAAATATGGATATTTTGCCCTTCAATTTTTAGAGTCTTGTGTTTATGCTTTGCCTTGCATTAACTTTTTATTTGTATCCTTTTTCTTTTTTTTTTAATTTTAGATGCCAAGAATGGAGGATATTCTTAACCTTCCGGTGCAAGATCCTCCTTGCACAGAGTTCTCTGCTGCTGACATAAAATGGGTAAAAGTAGAGGGTGGTCGCCAAGGTGGTGATGATATTGCTCTAATACCTTTTGCTAGAGTAGATGATTTTGTAAAAGGGGAGTCTTCTAATGCAGAATGTCCTGCTAGTTTCCGTATTGAGTCAAGGAGGAAGAGATCTGAAGGAAGTATCAGCAAACCAAGGGTCGATGGATATCTTGAGTATACACTGTATGTTGCAAATTGAACACCATTTAGAAAACAAGATTGCTGGATTTTATGTTTCTTTGAAAATAACTTTCTGCTAGTAGCTGCTTAAAATGCTCCTCTATTTCAGTTTCATGGCTATATACTATATGTTGTTTAAGAAATTTATGGCCTTGCTGGTTGAACTTTGTGCTACCTTTTAATTATTTATTCTATTCTTTCTTTTCATTAATTTCTTTGTCCATTGAAACCCTGTTTATATATAATACTTCTTGAATTTTTTTGATGACAATAGTTCTTTAGTCTGCCATTTTTTTTCATGATTAGAGGTAGCAGATGTTGTGCAAAACTTTTTCTCAACTGGCCATAGCAGTTTTTTCATATTTTGTCTTTTAAAAGGCTAGCAGTTTTAATCATGCTGCAAAAAAATTTAGTAGGAAAATTATTTCAGCATATCATGTTTTATATGTGCAAGTGTTGATGGGTGGGCAGGCAGTTATCTGCGTGAGTGTGTATTCTACCATATCTTTTCTTGCAATAATGCTTGTGTTTATGCTAATATCCCATCTTTATGCACATTAAGTAACATAAAAGGTAGTCTGGTAATGTTGCAGATACTGGTGTTCATATGGTCCTGAAGATTACCGAGATAGTGAGTCTGGTCTTGGGGATGTCTCAAATTTCAAACCTGCCACAGGGAAGGGAAGCAGACCAGGTAGACGCCACATGATGAGAGGTTGCCTTTGCCACTTTACTGTAAAACGCTTGTACACCCGTCCCCTCCTTGCCCTTATAATTTATAATCAAAGAAAACATGTGGATAAAACGGGGGCCCCTTGTCATGGGATACTTGATCAGGATGCTGTGGGAACAAGAGCTATGTATGCTCCAAGAATCTCCGAGGAATTACGCCAGAAGGTGATGTCTATGCTTTATGTTGGAATATCTTTGGACAACATAATTCAGCATCATATGGAGGTGGTCCAAGAGCACGGGGGCCCGCACAACCGAGATGATTTTCTCACACGAAATGATGTTCGTAACATTGAAAGAGTTATTCGTAATACTTCACATGAACTTCATATTGATGATGAATGCAGTGTAAAGGTATGGGTACAAAGGCATCAAAAGCATGTTTTTTACTTCCAAGATGCTTCTGGTTCAGAACCATTTCTTTTGGGGATACAGACAGATTGGCAGCTGCAACAGATGCTTCATTATGGACATAATGGTTCAATAACTTCTCATTCTACGTTTGGCTCAAAAAAACTTAAGGTACTCTTTTGTTGGTACATATATGTGTGCGTCTGTGACTTTGTGTGTTTGTTTGTTTATAGAGAATGATTCAAAGCTGTTTGCCAGTCTGAAACAAAAGTGAAACTTAAAATAAAGAATGAAAAGAAGAGAAAGATCATGGCTTCACAGGATCTTCTTACGCTTTACACCTAGATTATGGTTATTTGAAACAATTCCAAATCTAGCATAACATTTGGTAAAATTCTCATAATCTTGTTCTCTATCTAGTGAAAGTTTTTTCATGCTTATTTATAGAGTTTAATAATCTTATTATTACTAGGACTTAATATTTAAAATAGGATACTGCAAAAAAAAAAAAAAAATCCTAAACCATAGATAAAAACCAAATATATATATATATATACATATATCTATATACATATATACATATATATATAGGAAAGCGTAAGACAAAGGGCGTATGCTAGAAATCTGTAATTCCATGAAAATCTGGAATTACCAGAATACGTGACGCTTGAAACTGAGGAAAATACCAAAGAAAATAATAGCAATGATTTTCAAACCAATAGAAATACAATAAGAGGATATAGTGAAAGACATTGTTGCTCAAACTTACGGGTGCATGGAATCTACCTTGTTATCACATATATATTTAGCTCTATTTCTTTATCTTTATTATATTTCAAAATGATTGAGACCTTATACTCAGTGAAAATCCCTTCCATTGACAGTATCCCCTATCCACATTACTCGTCTTTGACTCATCCCAAAATGCAATTCCTATTGCGTGGGTTATTACCTCCTCTTTGATTGGTCAAGATAGTCATAAATGGATAGGTTCGCTTGCTGAAAGAATCCGAACAAAGGACCCTAGATGGAGACTCAATGCCTTTTTAGTAGATGACCCTTCTTTTGGGATTTCAGTCGTAAGGTAAATTTTGATATGATGTTTCTATTTTATTTGCATAATTTTGATTTTATAAAAGGAATGTGAAGTCTAAGTTGCTTATTTGCAGAGATGCTTTCCAGTGCCGGGTTCTATTGTGTGTCTGGCATGTTCGCCGTTCTTGGATAAGGAATCTTTTAAAGAAGTGCTGCAACATTGATGTGCAGCGAGAGATGTTTAAGCACTTGGGCTGGATTTTATATTCCTCCAGAAGTGGGCCAAATGTGATGGATGCAGTTGAAGAATTCTTGGAAATATTTGTTGATCAATCTGCTTTTATGGATTATTTCAAGAGCCGATGGTTACCATACATGGGTGAGTGTCCATATGTTGTTGACTTTTTTTAGTCAATAACAAAGGTCTGTTTTGCTGTTTATACATGAATTTTGAACTATATTGCTTCTAGGACTAATGTGGTAACACTGTAATTAATTGTAGCCATTTAGCAATTAATGATAGTAATTGTTGACAAATGACAACTATAGTGATGTGTTGTTATGTCAAATTTCTGAATGCCTATGCCTTTTTTCTTGCAGAGATGTGGGTTGGTGGCATTAGGTCACTTCCTGTTGTTGGTCCAGAGCCCCATGCTGCCATTGAATCTTATCACCTAAGATTGAAGTACAAGCTTTTTAAGGAGCAACATGCTAATTTCTGGCCTAGAATTGACTGGTTGATCCATAGTTTGACCACTGAATTTCACTCCTTATATTGGTTAGATCAATACACCATAGAAACAGGATATCTTCCAAATATTAGAGACGAATCTTTCTCAAGTAATGCTTGGTATCAGGCCTTACACATACCAGATGTTGATGTCATATTGGACGAGCAGAACCTCCAGTTGGCAAAGGTCATCTCGCAAACAGATAGAAACCTGGCTTATGCAATTTGGAATCCTGGTTCAGAATTTTCCCTCTGTGATTGCCACTTGTCAAGTCAGGGAAATCTCTGTAAGCATGTCATTAAGGTGGCTATGATATGTAAAAACCGGCAGGTTGCAAGGCCACTATTGGCAGCTCAAATTTATAGGCAGACCTTGCTTAGTCTTCTGCATAATCCCCCAGATGATCCTGTAGTTCTTGATCATGCTATTTCATCTGCAACTCGCTTGCAACAGGATATCAAAGGCTTGGAAGACTTGTCTAACAGTGGGCTACTTCAGCAATTGCCTTCTGAGATTAACTCTCAAATAGCAGATAATGCTCTCTTTTTTGCACGTTCTCACTGATTAGACCATCTAAAAAGCAATTTAATAAAACAACACTTTATCTGAGGCTGTGGAGTTACTAGTATCTTCTGACAATCTAGCTTCTGATTGAGTCAGAATGTATTTAACCATGCTTGGAAAAGCAATATAAAGTTTTAAATTGATGGCATTCAAACACCCCTACTTGAGGTACATTGCATTTGCTTATGCTTGATGTTGCTTTTTTAGTTTTTTTCATTCATTTTCTTCTGCCTATCCTCAAGAAAAGGATGAGGTGAGGAAGAAAAGGGAGAACCTAATTTTAGCCGAATTCCATTGTTGAGCTCATTATGTATTCGTTCATCTGGACAGGTCCTTAGCTGTTCAGCTGCCAAGGTCAATATTCTTCTCAGTTCTCCTTTCCCAGAACAGGTAATTTCTCTTTGTTTTTCCCAACTTTTCTTTATAATGTGTACTTATTTTCTTTCTTTACCCACATTGCAGTGAACATAAAATGGAGGATCCTTGACGAAATATGTTTATTTTAGAATTTCACTCGGATCTTCTTACAGTAAGGACTAGATTTACTTTTTCTTCTACTGAAGTTATCTAAACAAATAGTATAATCTTTGTGTCTGTAGTCTTTTATCGTGGATTTGATCAGAAAAGCATATGAAAGGCTTGGGGGTATTGTAGAGCAGCTTTCTCAAGTGTAATATGACAAACTTGCTGCTGTAAGCAAATATTTTCCCAGAAAAAAATCTGTTCTCTGTTTTATTTTCATTTTCATTATGTAACTGTTGGATCATGACAAGTTCAAATATCCAGCAAAACAAAATGAGGAGTTTTACTTCTAAATTTCAAATATCTCCATTTGTCCACTAATTTGACATGAAAATTATTCCAAGCGATAAAGATGACAGAAAACTTTTATTTTTGTGAGTTGATCTGGGCTTATATTTGTATATAAGCTGAAGTTGCCAGCGGAATTGTATTATGGTGAGACTGAATATTTCTTATGCTTCTTGGAAAAAGTAAGGTTTAGGGTCTCATTCATTGAAATCCAACGTCAGGGTATTTTAGATTGCATGTGTCAAATCCATAGTATTTGCCTATGCCTCGTGTCTCAAAATTCTATTTCAAATATTAAACTCAACCATGTGGGATTGGAGTCCCCTGTTTTGTACCAGTAAGAGCATGATCTAGGTGTAGGAAGAGAATAGAATTACTTGATTAGTTGCTGAGTCATGACCATAAAAGTCTTTAATGGTTTGAAATTGACCTTTCTGTTCTGACCCATATGATCCGACTTTCTTGGATAATGAAATGCTTTGCAGATTGGATTAATCCATGTAATTTGATATTCTTAAATAAAGACCCATCTTTGAGGGTTGCGTATATTTGCTGCAATGGTTTTAACCAGGTATTTAACTATTTGAATACACAGGATTGGAGATATTCACTTCAACATATGAAAGCACGTGATACATGGATGTCAACCATCTATTAATCCTGTTACATACGATTTTGATGCGGGTCGTCTTCATATTTATAGATGGTCAAGCAACAAAATCTGGCCATACCAGTAATTATAAAGGTACATGGTCCCAAACATGTGCAGGTGCAGGTGCATTCATTTTCGTTTATGTACACACTTGAATACAAGCACATGCTGATTAGTTATTACTAGGCCAATATGCATGTACATTCATGCAAACCTGCAGACAGAGTAATTAGTTTATTACCTGTTTAAGATAATCTTTTCTCTATCTAGTAGGTATCGTTTAGCCTGTAACAGTTTGCAGCCTCAAAGTCTCCTGTTTCCATGCATGGTGGTGCAGCTGAAAGTCCTGGCGCACGGGCTAGCTATATCTTGCCGTGGTAGTTGATAGTGTTGTCAGTGAAGGTTAGGTAATGTCTTTATTGAGTTTGATTGCACTTGTATGTATGGCCTTATCTTCTGCATCGTTGCTCTCTAGGAGAATCATGGACTAGCAACGGTTGCGTGGTAGGTTAACTTATCTCCTCCCCTGCGATGACAATCTGCCTCTTCCATTAGGCGTATAAGAAAAACAAAAGGAGGTCCTGGCAAAGTTGTGTTTGTAGGTTATACATTAATATGGTGATATACACTTACTTTCTCAAGGTAGTTTTCAAATAATCAGCATTACAAGATTGCAAATTATCAGGAGTAATGTTGATTCAATTGTCAAGTTCGTATACCAACAAAGACAGCTGGATCATGTAATTTTATGAGGTGAGACTTGAGAGGATGAAAGCCACCTGCTCTAAATGAATTTTTACTCAGCATTAACCATTGGTTATTTGCAGATCCTCTTTATCATCTACTATACCATCGTTTCAGAGAACAGAGAAGCATGGTTTATTGGAATTCTAAAAAGGTTTCTGCATTCCGGTGACATTTCAGACTTACTCCAGAATTAGTTGCAAAACCATGAATAACCGAAGCACAAATCTGAAATTGAATAAAAATGCTGCTACAAATCTACAATAGCAGAAATTCGAGGGGGGGGTTTTTTTTTTTTTCTTAATCTCCCCTAAGGCTTCAGCTAAGCATGATAAGAATCAGAAATAAACCGACAAAACAGTAGCAAATCTGATGCTGCTACCGTCTGAATCTGCTTGTCATGAAACCATCATAGCTAAAAATAAATCTCATCCTTACAATTACAATTTCCTGCAACCTACATTCTCTAACAACAAAAAAAAAAAAAAAAACCAAATACACCCTGACAATTCAAATAATCCTGGGAAAAAACGTTCTCCTCACAATTCTCTTCTCAACAGCTACTTTCTTCAATTTTTAGCTTGACAAAAACCATTTCCATGACAGCTGCAATGACGTGATCATAGTCTTTCGTCTTCTTCTTTGCATTTTGATGAGGACTCAGTGGCAACTAATAATAAACAATGTGTGCCCGTTTTTTAAGCTCTCTGAAGAGTAAGGTGCAAGGAGAAAATCTCTCAAGATGAATTAGTAAAATGGCGGTGGTGGTGGAGAAGCATAGTCTACCCCTTTAATTGGTGGCAATGGTTCATCATATATGGGAGTTGGCGGTGGTATAAAAGGTTGAACTGGAGGTGGAGGTGATTGTAATTGCCAACATGGTGGCGGAGATGGAGGTGGATTTGATGGGGGTGGTGGTATAGGCGGTGGTGGTGGTGGTTGTGAATTTAGTGGGGGCGGTGGAGAGTATATAGGTGGCGGTGGCGAATTAGTTGGAGGTGGAGGAGGTGATTGTCGGGGTGGCGGTGGTGAAGTGAAGTAGAATGGACTTGGTGGAGGGGGTGGTGGAGGAGAGGGAATACAAGGTATTGGAGGAGGAGGTGGTGGTATTGCAGGCGTCGGTGAGGGTGGAGGCAGTGGTAATGGTGATGGTGGAGGAGGTAGAAGAGGCTTTGGAGGAATTACCGGATTGCATTTAAAGACACTACAATCTAGAGGCCTAGAAAGAAACATTTTACATTGTAATCTTGATCTCTGAACTGGCCTGCCTCTCAAACAATTCTTCCTATCATCAAATTCCTCCAAATCCAAGCACACTGGAGGCTCACCAGTGAAAAAGTTGTAAGCAAAACTAAAATTCTGCAAGTATGGCAATGAGCAAACACTCTCAGGAATAGTCCCTGAGAACATATTGTGCCCCACATCTAGCTGTTCTAAGCTCTCCATTTCTCCAATCGATTCAGGCAATTCACCCATGAGTTTATTATAGCTCACATCAAAAACTGCCATATTCTTCAATAAGCCAATCTCTTTTGGCAAGCATGAGCGCAACCCATTGTTCATCAGAATCAATTCATTTAGCGTATTTGACATGTTACCTAGAGTCGTAGGTACACATCCGTGGAACTTATTGTTGGCGAGAACAATGACTGATACAGGCGAGTTTCCCAGGTTATCAGGCAGTTCAAAGGCAAACCTGTTATGGTTTATGAATATGGCATCAAGATCTTTATCAAAGAGAGCTCTTGGTACCTTGCCTTCAAACTCATTGAACCTAAGGTCAAGAAACTTAAGGCTTGGCAAATGAAGAACAACGTAAGGAAACTTCCCTGCAAAGCGATTATTGCTGAGATCCAGCTCGAAAAGATGCTTCAGTTTTTTGAAACTCCAAGGGATCTTCCCACAAAACCTGTTGGAGTTAATGTGAAACAATGCAATATCTGTGAGGAGTCCTAGCTCTTCAGGGAGGTACCCAGCAAGGTCCCCATGATTCAGATCAATGCCAGCAACAGTTTCAATAGATGGGTCATCCAGGCCTGGGGAACAGAAAACTCCAGTGTAATTGCACACATCGGATCCCACCCAGTTGGACGTCAGGTTCAAAGGATCTGAGACAATGGCTTCCTTCCATGCTTGTAAGGCGACGTAGGCATTCTTAAGCCTGGTGTTGTCAAAGGAGAGTAGAGAAGGAACTGAGTCAAAATCACCTCCAGAACTAAACAGGTCGCTGTAATAAAACAGCCGTCTGTGCTTGTTAAATAAGGCTTGGGAGTCTGTAAGGATTGCTGTCGCATGTCTAGAAGTGGTATGGGCAGCAGTGAAGGAAATGAGTGTGAAAGTAATGAAGAATGCAAGAAAGTTACTAATATTTTTCTTCATCAGACACAACTGACCATGTATGGGAATTTTTTAATATGTAAAAAGGATTTGGATGTTTGTCTCTTCTATCTATTTGTATGCTTTGTTTATATGAGTACTGAGAGAGAGAGAGAGAGAGAGAGGGGAGAGCAATGGTGAAGGAGAAGGTGGAGCTGAGAAGGGGTTGGTTAGAGGGCTTGTTGTATGGGAGAAATAATAAATGAGTAGAGTCTGACAAAAATATATACAACTAAATGAGTGCTGAAAGTAAGCATTCAGAGCTAGCATTTTTTTCTCAATCTCTGGCTGGATCAGTTAGAAGCAATTCGAGGTTTCCCCGTGTAAAACAATGCGGCTTTATCTCCTGGTCATGAGTTGAATCCCACTAAATTTAAGTTGGACTTGCCACTGGGGATTTCATTTATAATGTATAGATTTCAAAAATGTTTATCGGTTCTTTTTTATGACATAACCTGTTCTTATAAATATTGATTACAGTGACATTTATAAAACCCATAGGAGTTAGTTAAGCTAACAAGAAATTCGATTCTTACAAAATATAGTTTGAAACTATTATTTTAAATGCATATGAAAAAGAACGTTTTTAAAATTATTTTTAAAAAATAAAGTTTAAACAAACATGAAATACTTGTGACTGCATCATTAAAAAAACATAAAAAGAAATTGTACTTAATGAATTATCTCTCTTCAAATTTAATTTGATGAAAACTTAATACATTAAATGAAAAAATAATTGAAAAAACGCTTTACTGACATTAACTACTAGTATTGTTGAGGGTATTTTAGATAAAGGTGAATTAGCTGGTGAGCTAAGAGATGAGCTTGAAATGATCTGAATCTGCAGCAAAGAAAATAGTCAACAGATGTTGGGGTTTGATTTTTGAGGCATGTTTCCACGTTCAAGTCAACTAAATTTATAAGGTTAGAGTTTAGGAGAAAGAAAATGAATTGTAGAGAGTATTGAGAAAGCTTATCAGTGAAAGGTTTAGAATTGTATACTTGGATCTCTTTTTATCTTATATATGAAATATGAGGTAGTGATATGATTTAAGTAGGTGATAGTTGATAGGAAGTTCATATGAAATTTAATGAAAGTTTATGTGGGTTGGAGTCTGTTGTTTTTAATGACGCTAGACAAATTAGATTACCGTGAAGTAACCTACTGATAGGACGTTAGTAAAGGTAATTAGATGAACTGTCTCAATGAGCGAAGAAATCCTAGTAGTCGAGCAGCACTAGAGGCGAGCCTGTACGAAGAGCGAAGAACTTAAAGCATCGATCTTCCCTAATAATAATGTGACAATCGAATGTATATTAATTTGACGAGTATAAAATTAATTTTGTTGACTAGTTAATTAGACATAACAAGTATTTATAAAATTTATGTCTATTTGGTGGATACCCATACGCTCTTGTAAGTAAAAACTTTTTGTTTTGTCATCTCTGTTATTGGATTTAATTTAAAAAATGATGAAAATGTATAAAAATATAAATAAAGTGATATGTGGATATCAAAATTGATTTCCTATCATCATAAAATATATCTAATAAAATAAAAATATAAAACAAAAGAAATAGTAAAAAAAAATAAAAAAATAAAAAAGAAGTCCATAGATGGTGCTGCATAAAGAATTCCATTGAATTTAAAATATTAATCTTTTAAATTAAAATATCAAATAATAATTTTATTAATATAAGATATATATATAAATATAAAATTAAATTAATAATAAAATAATATATATATATATCCCAAAATGAATTGGAACAAAATATCTTAAACACTTTTTGTCCCAATATTGTACCTTATAAAAAATTTAATCCGTTGCAACCCAATCTCGATTTTAAAAAAATTATCCCTATCATATTATGATAGATCGAAATTCATTGAATATGAATTGTTTTGGCATCTCCATCAAATGAAACTTTTTGTTGCAAAATTTTTTGGATTAAATATAAAAATAACCCATATATTATATTTTTTTTATCAATTTGATATCTAAAGAAATAAAATTATTTGTTTGATGCTTTAACTTTTTTTCTATCATCCATTTTAATACCTGAGATTAACGTCGTCAGTCAACTTGTTGATGTAGCATGAACACTTAATAAAATATTGATATGTGTCAAAAAATCTAATCAATGCAATATTATGAATTGCCATGTTAATATTAAAAGAAAATTTCAAAAAATTTTAAAAAGTTTAAACATTTTTTACAAAAATATGAAATATTTAAAAAATTATAAAAATTAAAAACTAAAATATTTTTAAAAATTCAAAAAATGAAAACTTAATTTAAAAAATCTTAAAATCTTAAATAAAATGCAAAAAAAATTTAAATTCTAGAGATTTAAAAAAATAACAATTTTAATAAAAATAAATTTTTTTTAAAATTCAAGAAAAATTCACAAAAGCTCAACAAAATTTAAAAAAAAAAAATTATTGAAAAATCTAAAAAGTTTTTAAAAATTTTCAAAATTTTTTTAAAATTTATAAATTTTTTTAATCATACAATTTTAATTTTTTGAAATATTTTTGAATTTTTCAAAATTTTTTTTTAATTTTGTATAATTTTTAATAATGTTTCAGAATTTTGAAGATTTAAAAATTTTCAAAAATTTTAAAATTTTTCATATTATTTTCAAAATAATTTAGGTTTTATTTAATTTTCAATTTTTTAAAAAAATTTAGATTTTTTTAATTTTTAGTTTTTTAAGTTTTTGTGAATTTTTTTTATTTTAAAATTTTATTTTTATTAAAATTTTTATTTTTTTAATTTTTTATTAAAATTTTTGAGTTTTTTTAAATTTTATAATTCTTCAAAATATTTTAGATTTTTTTAATTTTTATAATTTTTAAAAATATTTCAATTTTTTTAGAATTTTTAACATTTTTTTAAAATTGTCTTTTAATGCAGACATAGCAACTAATTATGTGACGTTAACTAAATATTTTAATATGCGTCAGTATTTTATTGGATATTCATACCATATTAGTAAGTTGATTAATAGCATTAGTTTGAGATATCAAAGTGGATGACGAAATGAAAGTTAGAGTATCAAATTGATAAATTATTTATTTAGGTATTAAACTATTAGAAAATGTATAATACATGGGCCATTTTATTTGTTACCCAATTTTTTTAATAAAAGTAAAAATCAAGAAAATAGAAAAAAGCCAAATGAAAGTGTTACGTGGATGTCTCCATTGATTTTTTTTAACAAAATTAATTTAATAAAAAATATTAAAAAAGGGAAAAATAGATAAAAAAAAGACAAAAAGGAAAAAGGAATTTATTGTGGTTATTATATGAATATCTTAATTAAGTTTAAAATATTATTTTTTAAATTAAGATATTAAATAAAAACTTGATTAATTAAACATAGAAAATAATAAAAAATTAAAATTAAAATTAAAAAAAGAATAAGAAAAAGGAAATCATTAAGGTACTATGCCGACATTAAAATTGAATTTTAAATTTTAATATATTAAATTAATGTAGAAAATAATAACTTTATTAATATAATACATATATATAAATATATAATTAAATAGATAATAAAATATATACTTTTGAAAGTACCATGAACTGTTTTGGGACAAAGCACCAAATCAACCTAAATTCTCCTTTGACCTATCCCTACTTTTTATAAAAAAATTGACCCGACTTGACTTGATATATATATATATATATTTATAAAGACAAACATATTGAATCAAGATAGATAGAACGCTATTCAATACTGATTGTTTCATCATTTTTATTAACCAACTTATTTTATTGTAAAATTGATTTAATTTTAAAAAATATAAAAAACAAAAGCAAAAAAAATGAAAGAAAAAAAACAAATATGGGTACTACATGAACATTTTCATTGACCTTTTTTTCTTATAAAATTTATCTAAAAAGAAAAAAAATTGCTCCTTATCAGATCAAGTCAAATCGAAACCTATTAGATATAAATTATTTTAACATTTTTATTCATTGACTCTTTTTGTTACAAAATTTGTGTAATTAAAAATCAAAAAAAATAAAAAGAAAAAAAATCGAGGTGCCATGTGGATAACTTCATTTGATTTTTTTAACAAATTTATCTAAATTTTAAAAATAAAATAAAAAACAAAAAAGTTGACAAAAAATGAAATAAATGAAATAAACATCAAGTGTTAGGTCAACATCTTAAATAAAAGTAAAATCAAAATCAGTAAAATTTATATAATTGATAAATAAATGGTATAAACACCTATCTGTGTCCAGGGTCAATAAGACTCTGTTTTTATTACTATTATTATTATTTTATTAGTATATTATTATATTGTTATTATATTATTTATATTATATTATATTATTATTATGTTATATTATTATATATATTAAAGTATAGTATATTAACATAGTACAATATATTATATTATAATAGTAATAATAATAATAATAATAATAATATATTATTATTATTATTATTATTATCCTTTTATTATTTTTTTATTTTTCATTATTTTTTTTTTAATCTATGAAAAAAATTTTGGAAACTGAAACTAAATCAACCGAATATGAGGATGTGCATGGTCAAAATTTTTAATACAAAATCAAATAGAGGTAATTATTGAAATTAATTATGATCAAATTAGAAACTTAAGATTATGCTTGGGTAGAATCTAATCTCAGGATTCAAATCTGGATTAATTCTGTTCGTTCCCTAAAATCTTTTCTAAAGATGCCTATAAATTGAACCAAAAATCAAAGGAACATGATACGGTGGGTTTAAAGAGAAAAGACTTAATTGAGAATTTGAAATTTTGAGTTGCTGGGACTTTGGGTTCAGTTTTTGAAAATTTTGGGTTTAATTCAAAGTTTTTGGATTAAGACTTAGGTTTCTAGGTTTATGGTTGAATTTCTAGGATGGTTTTGAAGAAATCTAGAAAATCTTGAAATTTTTGGTTGTTTTTGGAAAAAATCTAGGTTTAAAAGATGAACTTTGAATTTTTAGATGAGTTTTTTGGCGTAGTTTGAGTTTTCATGTGAAATTTTGAT